GCCCCCCCCCCCCCCCCTCCCTTTTCCACCCCCTTCTATTCAAGATAAAAGGATATTTCGTTCACCAAAAGCAAGAGTATTGCATAATCTGTATTAAAAACCGTTAATTGATTTACAGTAGGTGTAAATCCTCCAGAGGAAAAAAAATCTATGCATCATTTTTTAAGCGAAGTGACTTTACGATTTATAGCATCGTCAATCGAAAGACATAGTAATATATTTATTGAGTAAACGAGTCACTTTTTTGCTCGTCCTGACAAGTTGCCAAACATGAGTTATGTAATACCGCCTGAGTAATGCCTCCGCCTTAATATGCCCAATTATTGACGAGCATCTGATTGCAGCACAGCCTGACTCAATTAATTGTTTAAGAAAGTTTGGTTCCAGTTTTCGTTTCCTTTCTGCTAAAATTTAAGTGTTTACGTCTCGCTACCTCAGAATTACAAAGCTCGATCTAACATCGTTGGCCGGTTTGATTTACTAAGACCCTGAGGTAAAAAAGGAAGTACTCTATTTGCTCTATCAAAACAAAGAGTCTACATAACAAGAGGGGCCACTTCTGATAAACAGCAGTCGAACTGCGCTCGCAAGGAGGTGCTATTCCTATTCTTCTTCTGGAAAAACGAAAGAGAGCTTCAAAACAGACTGCAGCGCCATCTGAAGCAAAGAGCGAACTTTTTTGGCTGAGTGGCCCATCTTGTTATGTACTAGGTCTATCTTTGATCAAAATCGTAAGAATTCGGATTCGTAATCGAGATATTCAACGAACTTCATTAAAACAAAAAACTTGACATATTGTGAAACAAAACAATTTTGACGTCAAATTTCTCCAAAACAACAACAACAACAACAACAACAACAACAACTAGGCACTGATAAATTGAACGTTGTAATTCTGAGGTAGCAGTCTTGTAAGGGAATCTGTCAAGGAGAGTTGACTCTAACAATGCAACCTTCACTGTCTCACGCAGAAGTTAGTTCAGTTCCTGTGTGGAGGGGTTTTTTGGTCGAGTGTCTACGCGTTCATGCCAAACACTCGGACGAGCGACAGCCGTTCTATCGACAACATCCGGCCGAACAAATGTAGCAAAAAATATTATCTTATCCCTCATTTGCGTTCAGACCAAAGCATTAAAGCAACCACAATGGCTGAGTGTTAGTCTAGTCAGCGCAGTTAGGTGTATACGTATAAGTGTTAGAATGACTGTCGCTTGTCCGAATGCTTTGTGGGAACGCGCGGCATCTCTTACTTTATGCCGGGACGATATAATTCTGTCTTCGCTCAGGTTGGCCCTGACACTACAGTGACGGGCAGCGTTGAAGCAGCCCTCCTGTATGATCTAATTAATTTATGAAGGGTGGCTAAGGTGTGTGTTTGTGTGTGTGTGTGTGTATGTGTGTGTGTGTGTGTGTGTGTGTGTGTGTGTGTGTGTATATGTGTGTGTGTTAACGTGT